TATACAGTTAACAAAATGTGCATTAACTCTGTCAGCTGAGGCATTCTGTAGTCCTAAGAGGTCAAAGGTCAAGGTTCAAGCTCAGTGTGCGTATCGTCTGAACAGGAAGCTCCCACACAAGCTCCGTGGCTGGTTGGTCTTCAAAAATGACTCCTCCATTGTCTTTTTGTTTTTCACAACTGGCACCCACCCACCCGCCTGCCCACCTCTCCTCCTTCTCCGGCACCCTTCCCACTCTCCACTCTTCTCTGCTCCAAGAATAAAAAAAAGGGATTTTTAAAAAATATCCCTGTTAGTGTGGGAAGGTGTTAATTATAGTCCCGATAAAACTGGTGATGAGCGATAGCTAACGTGTATTTTAGGTTCTACAAATAATCTATTCATTCTCTCTGAGGACAGAGTCCCTCTGCTGGGCCTTAGTGAAACTGCTACAGCTAGTCAATGTTCATGTCTGAACAGAGAAAACTACGGCATGTTATTCATTTAATAATTTATTATTCAGATATTTGTATCGTTGTAGCTTTAGCACAGACAAAACATGCATTCTGACGATTTTGGGGTGAGTCTTTGAACTTGCACATTGTATGCATTGTAAAATAATGAGGTAGAGACGAAGTTTTCTGCAGATAAATCAAATTGATCACTGAACAAAAACCCGAGCTACTTTTGTTCTTAATTATTGCCACGCTGTAAAAAAAAAAAAAACCCTGACTGAAAAGTTTTTCTACGTGCAGAGACGGTGAAAATAAAATCTCATATAAAAGCTAAAAAGCCAGCTGAAATGCGTAATGTGCCACCTGTTGGAGATTGGATATGGTTAAATAGAACCATCCTAATTTGGCATCTGCATTCGCACACCAAGCTTCAAAGGTGGACATGAATGCACATGCACTCGCACACTTAATTACTTCTCTTGTCTAAAGACCAATTAGAGCCAGCATTCCTGGACAAGGCAAAGACTTTTAGTTAAAAAAAAAAAAAAAAAAGTGTAAAGAGAGAGGTGTTACCATGTTTGTTATTTAAGTGGTTGGCTGGTAACAAGTGTGATTGATGGCAACCTGTCAGTGGCCCTGATACTTGACACCCCGCCTGCGTCACCGCCTGTCATGGCAACGTCAATCCCATCTGGGGAGCATTAAAATACAGGAGCAACGGCGAGCGAGAGAGGGAGAAAGCAAGGGCGAGATAGGCCCGTAAACCAGGGCAAGCTGTCATCTGAACCTTCATTCATCACTCCCAGGCCTTTGCTGTGACACAGCCAGAGGTAGAATTAGTTGCACCAAAGCCGAGCTGCGCGACGAACTGGGACGTTTATTCAAACGCTGTTTAAACTGATGTACAGAGCATTCGCTTCATGCAAGAGAAAATCGTGCTTTTGTAAAACTTGGGAGATAATCTGAAATGATTTCTAGTATGCGACAATGTGTCAGTGTGAAACAAAAGCAACAATGCTGTGAAATTATTACAGCACAAGAGGCACGGGAGACATTCT